GGGCTGGATTAAAGGAATCCCTACATAATATTAGAAACATGAGTGGTAGCTCCAAAATCCAACCACCAGGTATTATTAGGCACTTCAATGATATTTGCTATCGGGAAGTCTTTCTTGCAGTGACCCCTTCTTGCAAAAGAGACATTTCTGGTCCTTCTAGATATTGCCCTTATTCACTTTCATTGGGGCTTTGTCCTTCTTGTTCTTCTTTCCTAATTTGGCTTTACTAAAGCTAGCACCTTCATTAGCTGTGAGATGGATAAAATGATCTTTCATTTTCTTCAATCTCCCTTTTCCTCTTGTATCAATATGGCTTTGATTTCTTGAAATTTTCATTTATCCTTAAGATTGTTATAGTTCACTTGGAACTGACCAAATTCAGGAGGAAGAGAGTTCATGATAAACTGTACTTGAAAAGACTCATTCACCTTCATTCCCATTGACTTCAATCTTGCTGCTATATTAGCCATTCTAGTTACATGGTCATGTATGGGCTATGACCAGTCCAACTTTTTGGTAGTCAGCTCACTCATAAGAGTTCCCACAATAGACTTGTCAGTTATGTTTGATTGTGAGTACTCGATCATTTTCATGAGTTCCTTTGCGTTTTTCGTTTTAGGCATAGAAGACTTTACATTCTCTGCCATAAACATGCGCATCAAGTTTAGTGACAGCCTATTAGACCTATGTCAACCCTCATAAAGAGACTTCTCATTACTTGTACTGGTCTCTGTAATGGCTGCGGGCATTTCATCCATCATAATAGCCATATCCAAGTCTAATACATCTAGTTGGAACTGAATTTGTTTTGGCCAATCAGCATAATTTAGTCCATTAAACTTGATCACATTGTTGCTTAAACTTGATAAATTCATGGAAGCTGGAAATAGTATACAAGCTCTCATACATTAATGCTTTGATAAAATTAATGGATTCAAATAGAATAACTACACTAGTCATGCATTTAACTTTACTTGTGGATGACACTTAAACTGATAGGTAATCATATAAGTCATTCATTTAAGTTCACCTTTGGGTTTTTCTTAAATTGACAAATTCCATACAATTAAGAAATTAAAATGAATATACTTTAATAAACAATCAATCATATTTACTAAGTATGTATGATATCTTTGGATATACAAACATATTTACTAAGTATATGAAATGTCTCACTTTAATGTCATCAATTATGAACAATGGTGCACCTTTGGGTAATCCATAACATCCTTATGACAATGACTAATTACTATATATTCATAATTTAATATCCTTTATATTATGAATAATTTTCATAATACTTCTTCAGAAGTTGACTACATTATGGTACACACGGTAAATACACACTTCAATGGAATTTCAAAGTAATGCACATGCATTCTCCTAACAGTGTTTTTGGATTCAAAACATCATAACATGAGCAATTTAAAAAGAACAATGGAATTACCAAAAGTTTTAATTTTGATTAGAATTACAACTCACCCGAAATTCAACTTAATTGAATTTTCTTCATCCAAGTTTAGTTAACAATTACTTATAATTCATAAAACAACACATTATATCATGTGTGTCACTAGATGCACTTTTCTAATTAAAAGCATTCATAATCGTGAAACATTTAATTCACATATGCATTCCAACCATCTAACGTAACTTTCACTTTTAATTCACAAAATAATTTTCATTCAATGCACAGTGACAATAACACATTCTTATTTTTGTAGAATATAATATAAGTCGCAGCAATAAAGTTGCTTTACTGTTAGAACAAGTGCCGCAACAATAAAGTTGCTTTATGGTGACAACCAAAATTAAAAACCTGCGGCTTCTTGGATCAAATTCACGTAACAGTGAATTGAATTTTCTTTCATTCCAATCAAAAATAATTAATATCATAGTAAAATTAAACATTTGAAAATTTAAAAATCCCTAAATTTTATAATTCAAAAACTAGGATTTCTATAATTGAGAAAATTACCATGGAGAATCATAAAATTCAGAATTTGGCTCTGATAACACTTGTAAGCAATTTTTATGATTTCAATTAAATGAAAACATACAGGATCTTGAATTTCATGTTTCTCACTATTCTCACAAACATAGTAGAGAATTACTTACCTGGATCCATTGTATGGTTTTTTCCTATCAATTGTTCCTCTTATTCGTCTTTGATGCTTTCTCGATGATATAGAAATTGCCAAGGATGTTTTTCTCTATCAAAGTCAGTTTCTTTTTCTTTCTGAGAACGTTACTTTTTCTCTTTCATTTTTCAGAAACTTAACGTGCCAACAGAAGTAAACATTTTTTCCTCTTTTATGATATTTAACCAACTTTAATAAAATACCAAAATGCCCTTTATTGAAGTGAGAAGATAGGGATTAATTTTAATAACTCGAAAATAATCCCTATAACTTTAATACATTTATATTTTAATAATCATCACATTAGAATCTTTACATCAAAGTTATACTTTAAATTACATGAACCAATGTTAAATATTAATATACGTCAACAATACTATCATAATTCCTATTTTAAATATTATTTATAAGGTTTGGACAATCTAAATTACTCCATATTCATAAAATATAGATTTTTCTTTAGTAGTAAAAAGAAAAAATATTGAGTACTACAATGGATACAAAAGTTTAGACTTTTGAAAAACATTTAATGTTGTGTTATGCTCTTTTACATTTCAAAATTTTCATTTTTCTGTGTTGCTAGTTTTATGTCTTTAATATCTTTTTCTCTCTGGGCACCTAATGTAATTTGTTTTTGCTTAATACCTATTTTAGTTCCTCAAAATAGGGGAATGTTTAAAGTGTTCCTACCTTTTCAAAAAAGTTGGAAATGGTCCCAATTTGTGAAACAATGGGTCAATTTAATCATTTTTGCTTACGACGTCTAAAATGTAATGGTGTAGGTGTCTCCCTAAGCAAAACATAATGAGTTGTCCAGTTGTTGTCATTGTGTGGCACTGTGAGGTTAAATGACGTGTAAAATTTAAATTTTAAAAAACAAATATTTTGATAGAGGGTTAAAAGAAAAGCGATTGCTTGCTCTGCGTTGAAGAAGACGCATATGTTGATGGCGCGATGAAGACTGGTGATGAAGGGTTTGCTTGCAGGTTTAAAGAGTTTGATGCGCTGATAGCGAATCTTGGTTGGGTAATATTTTTTTGAGAGGGTTGGGCGTTTTTTTATTCGCGATGAACTCGCGATTTGGGTTCCTAATTTGGGGTTTCCTGTCATGCGATTAGTGTTCATCTAAAATTTGGTTTCCACAGGTTCTTGGTGGCTATGGATAAGGCTCGATTTGAGTTTCTTTAGGTCTCTACAGTTTCTTCAGGTTTCGAAGGAGGAGATTGGTAGATGAGCTCGCGTTTTGGTTACCATGGAGAATATTGCGATTGGGTTTTGTGGTGAAGGAAATGCGCGATTTGCTCGTAGATTTGGGATTACATGTTTCACTATGGTTGAATCGCATGGAAGGAGATGAAAATTGGCCATGGTGGCTGGCCATGATTGCTCGCGGTTGTTGATGGAGTTCACGTGGTTGGGTCTGAGTTTTTTCAAAAGTTTGGTGGAGAAGATGGTGGTGGTTTTTTGGTTTCGTTGCGGTGGCACATGGAGAGGAAAATGTGATCTGGTTGTTAGGAAGAAGTTGTTAGCCTTAGCGATGGTCTGAGGTGTTGACGGCGGCAGTTTGTGGCTCTAACGTTTTTGGAGGTGGTAGATGAAGTTGACGTGACAAGCAACTTTTTTTTTTAAAATTCAAAATTTACACATCATATTACCTCAGTGTGTCACATATGAGAAAAAGTGGACAACTCATTAAATTTTGACCAAGGAGGCAGCTGCACCGTTATATTTTTGACGTTGTAAGCAACAAAGATTAACTTGACCCGTTTTTTCACAAGTTGGAACTGATTCCAATTTTTTTAAAAAGGTAGGATCACTTTGAACATCCTCCCGCTTTGGAGGGACCAAAAGATGTATTACACTTTTTTTTTTCATTCTTTAATCATATATTACTCATAAACAATTATAATATCATACTTGGATAAATTTTCGAAAATAATATAATTAATAAATTAAAGAACTTATAATTTAAAATATCTTAAACAACTTTTAAAAATAGTTTGAAAAAATTGTTTGAATAAATGACAAAAATATTACTATCCCAAAGATTGTATGAATAATGATATATCGATGTGGATATTTTATATGAATAATGCAATAGATGTTGATTCATTCTTAATATGTTTTTAGTTAAAAATAAATTAAAATCATCGTTGTTATGTACTAAAATAATGTCTTAAATCCAACACCTTTATTAACTGATTATGCAATCACTTCAACCCTCCATACAAATAGGAAAGAAAACAAAGCACTATAGTTAACGTAACATATATAAAAGTAAAAAAGAAAAATAGAGAAACTTAGTCCAGCAAGCAAGAAATAGGTAATCATAAAATTTTGAAATATTTGATTAATAAATTATAATAATGAATAAAAGTGTTTTGATGTTGTAAATATTATTATATTCATAAAAATAATCATTTCAGCGAAGAAAAATAAATTTCTAGAACATATTTTCAATAAACCCATCATTATATAATAACTTAAATAATATATATATATATATATATATATATATATATATATAAAGGGTTTCAATAAATAATTTTAAAATATAAAAAATTAAAAGTAAAATGTATTTTATGTATAAGAATTAAATGAGTAAATTTAATTTATAATCATTAATTAATTAATTAAAGGAATTTGTAGTAGATGAGAGTCCCATGTGCTTATCTTCAAGGTTTTCAAATTTAATATGATAATTACAGTTTGATCCTATCTTGATATTGTAGAAAATTATAAACAAGTATTGCTAAACAGCTGCAATTACTTTGATGAAAAATCCAAAATCTTCTCAAGAAACCCTTTTGAAAACTCTATATAATAAAGGTTATTTATCTAACAAGCGTGAAGGAAAAATAGAAGAATCAAATCCAAAAACGTTATACTGAGAATAACACGAAGAAGCTACTTACAAGTTTACAACAGCTAACAATGCAAACTAATCTCTTTTCTAAAATCTCAACTAAAATAAATAAAACAGTTTTGAATCTAGTACTGCCCATAACAATTTTAAATGGCTATTATTTTTCTCCTTTACATTCATAAGCTGCTATATTCTCTACAATCTAAAGCATTAAAGGTAAGATAAAAGCAAAGAAAAATCTGAAGTCGTGATATGAACTATACCAAATTCTCACTAATAAACCTAAGAATTTGAATCTGGGAAACAGTAAAAACCTAAAAAGAAAGTGAAACAAAAACAAAACTAGAGCAACAGAGTTCATGCCACTGCTTGAATCTTCATGTATAGCTTCAATCCATTGCATCAGTTCCTCTGCTTAGCCTCTTATCCTTGGCTTTAACCTGCTACACATGCACCCTTTGTGATCAAATTTCTAGATATTATGAAACCAGAACGAACAAACACTTGTGAGGAAAAGGGGAATGTTACTTGTTCTGTGTAGGATTTGGTCTGCTGGGTGGTATCCTTCTGAGGTTAGCAGCTACCTCACGAACAGTTGGATTTGGTTTTCTAGGTGGTTTTTTTGTAAGGCTAGCTGCTGCCACAGGCTTCTGAGATGATTTTTGCTCTTCTCTTTGAAAATTTGAATATGAAAGAGAGTTGGAAGTTTGTGACATTTTTGAAACTAAGGATGAAGAAGGAAGAACCCTAGCTTGGGACATAATCACCCCATATGAAAGGATCAATGTCATGGCAAAGATAGCAGCAATCATTGAACTGCATAAGGAATTCATGGTCTTTTCTGACTTGGAGGATGTCTTTCACTTGCTCTATATATGCTTCTTACAATGATAAGAGTGTGCATATATTTACATATATGGATTAAATATATTATAATAAAGTATTGATTACGTGTATGTGTAACATACTAGTTAGGTTGATGATATATATATTAATATATAGTTTTGTTGGATAGTGGGTTGGACCAAATTTGAAAATGCAGTGAAGGGTATCATGTGAGAAATCTTTGACTAGTTCATGAGCTTACAAGTCCCAAAGCTAAATCAGCATGAGATTAGGAGGATCGTTGATTATAGGTTTGTGGGGTGCATGTCACGTGATGTGGAACGTGGTTTATTTACAGTTGGTGGGTTGGCAGCTTTGGATTCTACTGTTTCAGAGGTTTACAACTGCAATCAACTGATGAATGTTGCTCAAACCAAGGTGATGCAAATGGCTTTGGTTTAAAAAGACTGAGTGAAAATCTTAAAAAATTCTACCTCGTGAAGTGGAGTCATCAGAAAATACTACACGTTGTATGCAGTCCTAAAAGTGCTCTCTAGAACAACATCAGCATGCCACTGTAGGTTTTCCTTGCTTGGAGTTTTCTTTCTAATCAAGAGAAGGCAAAAAAATATAATTAATTCTTCAATATCTATATTTAAACTAATTAAAAAGTAAGTGAAAATAATTATGAGTAATAAAAAAATAAGTAAAATTATTTTGAATTTTGAAAATGACAATTAAATAGAAAACTTTAAAATAAAGAAAAGAAGTATTGTTTATGTAGTTTCAAAATTTATAACACAATATTTTTTGAAATTAATATTAAATTATTTTATTTCTGAATATTTTAATAATTATGTTAATATTTGATTAACTATAATAAAAAGGATGTAAAGTTTTTTTAAAAATTAAAAAAAAAATTAATCCAACTTTATCTCTTTATAGGAAGACATAAAAATCTATCATAATTATATGAACTAAGGAAGACACTACTACAAAAAAAAGTGTATAGATAGCATTTTTTTTAATCATAAATAGCGTTTTTTAAACGCTATTTATGACTGCGCTATCTATTAATAGATAGCGCTTCTTAAAAAAGCGCTATCTATTGGTGTTTGACAATAGATAACGCATTTTTAAAAAAACGCTATCTAAGCGTTATCTATTGGTCTAAATTTTTTTAAAAAAAATAATTTTTTAATAAAATATTTCAAAAAATTAAAAAAAAATCAAAAGAAAATATAAAATATTGGTTTTATCATGTAATATGTGTTATCTATTGGTTCTATTATATGCAAAAAAAACTATAAAATATTAAGAAAAATATGAGAAAGACAAATATTTAAAAAAGAATGTTAATTAGCAAGAATAAAAACTATTGATACATTAATATTTCAAAAAGAATGTTCATTAACAACATTGAACTTCAAAAAGAATGTTCATTAACAACATTGAACTTGTATATGCTTTTTATTTTAATGTTTAGCAATATATTCATTAAAATAATTTAAAAAATGAAATGACATCATTTAATAAAATTGATCATTCAATGATTATTATTTTAACCTTTCTTTTCATAATATATATATATATATATATATATATATATATATATATAGTATTACATATTTAATAAATTGATAAAAATATATGGAAATGATATTACCGTACACAAACAATTAAAATAAAAATCAAACAGTTAAGAAATACACTGTGGCACATACATGTCAATTGCATTTTGCTTCTCAGCATCCATGTAAGCATTGTTGTAATATCGTTGAAGAATTCTAAAGAACTCCTGGGATTGTGTTGCAGCTTTCCATTGTCCTCTCCTCTTAGAATATCTACATTGAAATTGGAAAAGAAGTTAAAGAAAAAGACCATGCAATTAACAAATCAATTAGCATTTTTCAAAATGTACTTTACCCATTTAACAGAGAAAATTAAATAAAAGAAAGCATTCAAGGAAGAAAGAAATTCGTTATTGGGCTAATGGGCTACTGTGAATTGTAGGGGTACACAAGAGAGTTAGTGAATATAATACTTGATTGATATCTTCCTCACCAAACTACAAATTACTTCATTTCATAACTTAGCAAATTTAGTTGTTTCACTCCTTCTGCTGGCAAAAATCTATACAAACACAAAAACATAAGTAGAGATAAAGTTATATTTAGTTTACTGTAGTTAGCAGCAAAGTGAAAATGTGATAGAAACCTAGTCAAATCGCTTTGATAAAGAAAATTTCTTCTTCTGCTTCTTGTCAGTAGGAACCAAGTATGTGTTGAATGCACCAGGTAATGCTCGAATTGCGATCTCAGCATGGTCAGAGTGTGCATCTGTGAGTTTTCCAATGTCAAGTCTTCCATAGAATGAAAAGGGAGATTCAAGTGTATTTACTTTAAAGTTTTTTTTATGCATACATGTTTTAAAAAGTAAAGAAAGTCAATAAAATATCTAATTCACAACTTCTCTCCAGATATATAAATAAGATATATTGACGGTAACCTCTCCCAGACTATTAAAGGCCCCAATAACACCACCGCATATAGTTGAAAAGATGGAACACCAAATTTGAGTGTCCATGAAATAAACCTGCATTCAAAATGTAACCTGAGATGTTTACATTGAAATTTATCCCAAACAAACAAAAAGATTGAGATACGTGAGTATAACCACGAAATATAACATACACACCATACGTACAGGGGCCACAGAGCAATAACTGCACTATAGTTATTTTGAGTTGCCTAGACCACCGATATTAATAAATTTAACAAGTTGTTATGGACCCATAAAAAATGTGAAGAAAACTACCTTCAGAGAAAAATTCATGCCAAGCATAATCAACATGCCGAATACTCATTATGTCCTGCCCCAAGATCACAGCAAAAGAACCTCTATGAACTGCACAAGATTGTCACTTGTCACTTTATGTCCTGCTCACACAAGTTTGTGAACTGCACAAGATTGTTGTCCCTACTGAAGATTGCACAAAACCACCAAGGTTATTTCTTGCCACTAAAGCTTCCACTATGTCTTTTTGGTCTACAACTAAGGCTATTATGAGAAATGAGAGTGAGAGACATCAAATTCTAAAGGGTATTATGAATTTTTGCATTTTGCGAGGAATGTTGAATTGAAGCAGAGTTTTTTGTGAGCGGGAACGAAAATTTTTTCAGTATGTGAAGATGATAAAATAAGAATAACAATAAATAATACATAACTTTTTTAAAAGAAAGTGTTGGCTAATGATATTTTAATAAAAAAGTTGTTTATTGTGTTTTAATAGATAGCATTTTTTTTAAAAAAAGCTTATGTGCCTATTGTAAATTATGAATTAAAAAAATTATATTAATTACTTATAGATAGCGCTTTTTTAAAAGCGCTATCTATAGTCATAGGTATAGATAGTGTTTTTTTAAATAAGCGCTATCTATTATTCCACACATTTATAGATAGCGTTTATTTAAAAAAGTGCTATCTATTAAGCGCTATCTATGATCAATTCTATAGTAGTGAGTGTGAAGAACAAAAAAGTGTTTGCATATACGTGTGTACCTGTATGTATGTACATATGGGTAAGCATGTGTTATCATGTATTGAATGTTAAGGCACATTTAGAGAGATAAAACTATCCTATATATAAGTTATGAATTGGTCATGCAAGGCCATATAAAAACGAATGAAACAAAATGATTGTAACAAAAATGCTATTACAATTATTGTGTCTCGAAAACAAAAGGTGGGTGATGTAAATCAACACGCTAGCTAGTGTAGAATTGGCCTTTAACATCATCCTGCAAGCGACGAACCACAAAATAACCAACGTAAATTATTGACCAGTGACATTTTTGTAAATAACTTGGACACATAGACGTCTATAACATTATAGACGTCGGTTCCTCCTAACAGACGTGTATATGTCTGCCAAGTAGATGAAAAATTCTTTTTTTCTGTCATATAGACGTCTGATCCCGCCACCCCGACGTCTATATGCGATTATAGACGTTGGTCCCCTTGTCACCGACGTCTATATGCCTGACAGGTAGGTAAAAAATTGTTTTCTTCGCCATATGGACGTCTCATCCTGCCATCTAACGTCTAAATGGCCTGACAGGGTAGGTGAAAAGTTTTTTTGGACGTCATATTAGTGAGGGCCCCGACGTCTAGGCGAGAATAGACGTCGGTGCCCTCTGTGTCCGACGTCTTGGTTCCTGTTAAATCATAAATTGAACCCGCGGTTACGCACACTTCATCGTCTTCCTTCTCGCCTTTTCTCTCCGCGGCATTGTATTTCCAGGTGCGTTTTGTCTCTTTTGAACCGTTTAAACTTACTTTTACTCCGATTAAATTAGTCTTTGATGGATTATCTTCTATTTGAATTGATTAAAATGAGTTTTCGTTGTGTTTTGGTGTAGTTTTTCTTGTGTCTTTGTGTAGCGTAGTAGCACATTCTCCCTTTGCTAGTTTCCTCGTAAGGAAAGCTTGCGTCTTTTGGATGTCTTATAGCATTTCAACCCAAAACCGAACCTGGGTCCTTGCCTAGTTCTCATGTCACCGTATTTGTTTTCATTGCTGGTTGGAATGGAACTAGGCAAGGACCCAAATTCAGTTTTTAGTTGAAATGTCATAAGAGGTCCAAAAGATGCAACCTTTTCTTATGACGAAACTAGCAAAGGAAGAAGGTGCTACTACGCTACCCAAAGACACGAGCTACAGTAGACGTCAGTTAATGCCATGTCCGACGTCTTTATAGACGTCGGACCTGTAGAGTCCGATGTCTTTATCGGTGACATTAATGGGATGTTGGTTCAAGCTAGAACCGATGCCAAAGCTTTTTGTTTTGTTTCATTTTTTAAAATCATGTGCACCCTATGGCTCCAGTTGCCACAACCGAGGTCTATTCTCCTGGAATTTTTTTTAATAGCAGGTCTGTTTTTGTGATATTTGTGATATCAACTATCACAAAAATAGACCTGCATATAAAACACAGTATATAGAACACAAAATCAATATTTAATAACACAATGTTTAAAGGATAATGTACAAAGTCTAATAACTATAAACCTAAATGTGTTAATGTATTTTAAATCCGAATAACTATGAACTATTGAATAATCTAATTAAATGCTTTGCAATTGTCTTCCTTAGGTTTGTAATTGGCTTCTTTGTAAGTGGAGTATGAGTCTTGAATCTCTTCACAAGACACATGATATTAATTAGTGTATATGAATTCTAAATGATGGAGAAAAACAAAATTCATTAAATCTAAATATTACTCTTTTCCATCCTCTTGTGATATGGGCACGAATAATATGTGACATCAAATACATTATGTAGTATCCGCACTCATATCACACACTTTGTTTGTTATACTACAATATATAATCACATTTTCTAAATAGTTAGTGAAAATCATTAAAACAAAACAGCTATAAGAAAATATGGCTTTAGCATATGTCAAACCTTGGGAGCAACACATGCAAGCTTTCTATTGTTAGTAGTGGATCTCCCGACCAACATCATATGTGCTGCAATGGAACTATAAAAAAAAGGCTTTAGC